AAGCGCATAGCCAGGACTTAAAATACACTTTAAGAAAGGAAAGGTAACCCTGAGTTAGGATCAGCTACAGGATACATTAACCTTTACCATGCTGCCTTATTTCAGCAAATATATCCCACGCAACTGGCTTATTTTTCAAAGAGTGCAAAAAATGATATGCCTGGACTAAATAATTAATATCTCAATAACTACTGAATGAATCTGGATAAAATTTTCACAAAGGGAAGATACAGTGGCCTGGCTCATGAAAAAAAATGTTCTCATGAATTTTTTCGTACATTAACACGACTGGGCATAAATATACCATGAATACTCCTCTGGAATCCGCCGCTCCGCTTCTTCGTCTGGTCAGAATCCAAATCTGAATTTGCAGCGATCGAATGTTCAATTTTTCAATTCAGAAAATATTCTAGTTTCTATTTTCGATGACCGTTATCGGCTTCCAAGAGCCTAAAGAGCTCGAAATCGTAATCCATTTCCTCCACATTTTCGTTGTGATCGTATTTGTCCACCATTTTGTACGATTCGTTCACTAAAAACGACTAAAACACTGTTTAAATTGTTGAATATTTTTCGAAATATCGCCATTTCTAGGTCAACAGGAAGTCATGTTAGGCACTGAATAAATCGGGCAATCTAATTGGACAATACGAATGGCGCGAAAAAGTAAAGTTTTTAAAAGTTTGAAATCGGGCGTACGGGTCCGCCGGCAGTTGTGAGAGACATTTTAGTCTCGGCGGACGAGTCCGCCGGCAGCACGCTAAAGGTTAAAGGAACAATATACCTATTATACAATTATTATTTAGAAATGACAACTTAAATGCATATGATTATTAAATAATATAATGCATATTTGGTCGAGATAAATTGATATTTTTCGCTCATGTGGCAGTTTTGTATAAGTTTCCTGAGTAAAAGGGGTGTTGGTTCCCTTTCTTTTTTAGAATAATGGCATCAATAGGAGGCCTGTAGTCAGGATTTGCCAAAGAGGGTTTTATTATTTGAAAAATTCAAGGTAAAAAGGTGGTTCATTTTTGATATCTTTGACCCAAAAATGGCCAAAATAGTTAGAATGGGGAAAAACGGCATGATTTTGAAAGAATATTTGGCCGGGGGGAGGGGGGGGGGGTTGCTCGAACCCTCAGACCCTCCCCCCTGTCTATGGATCTGATTGGACAATCTAAGAGTATTTCAACTTATTTCCATGAGCTGGGACAGTAATGCCCAATCTTGAAGAAAGAGAAAAGGCTAATGCCTTTGAGTTCACACCCTGCCATCACTCCAGTAAATCAGCCAGACCCAATTCCACAATGAGAGTTTATGGTTCCCGGTGCTCAGGGCTTCAACATATTATCTTCACTTGTTACTGTTCTTTATAACTAGACTAAAACAGAGCAGAAAATAGTAAAACCAGAAGCAAGTGGAATTACCCTTTCCCCTAGTATGATGTAATGTTATGTCTCTTCAGCTATGCTCTTTAGATAAGAGATATTCCTTTGATTAATCATTATACAATCAGATTGTTTTCTGAAGATCTAATCAACATTAGATCATGCTGTAAAATCTTTCCATCGTGGTCAGAGTTTAGCTATTCCTATCAACATCTTGGCCAAAAGGGTACAGTATGTAGTAGTAGGTGAGATTCTGGAGAAATCTACCTGAGTAAATATAGGAAAATATTTTGAGGATTGTGCCCTAACAAAATGTTAGGAATAATCATTTTGTGCACATAGTAAGGTTTTTTTGCCCTCACAGAATTTTCAGTCTAATATTTTATATACTTCAGTCCAGGAGGTAGTGCCCTTACATAGATGAAACATAAAGATTTACCCTTACAAATCTTTCTGTTTGTTGTTTTGTATACATACACGTGGCACAGTGGGGGGGGGGGGGGGGTGATACATAGATAGAGGTGCTACATGATCTGTAAAAAACTATATCATTGCACTAAGAATACTTGTGAAATTTTAAGGGTTTTCCTGGCTCATATATGATACCATATATTTTCCCTTTATATGAGACTCATTGCCAGTTTTATGGATAAAACATTTAAAAGAATGAATACCAGGCATATACATTATGGGGATGATGTATATAAACAATCTGCCCAACATTTCATTGTTTTTCAAATGTTGCCATTTGTTGCTTGGTAATAAATTGGGTGGATACATGATTTCATTCAAATATTGCACATGTATATAAGATAGGAGTTTCACTATCATTGAAGTTTTCGTAAATTGTTTTCTGTGCCAAATATATATGGTACATTTTCGGTGTTTTTGTAAGGGTTCAATGTCTTGCTCATCCTCCTCACCTCTTTGCCCTTACAAAATAGTTGCGGTCACGCAATATCTTTCTGTTCATATAATACATAACTTGTATCAAAACACATTTTATTTTAAGTATCAAACGGCAATAGAGGCAATCTTTAAAACTGACAGCGCTATGATAAAGTTAAAAGAGTTTACATTAGAAGGAAAATTAGATGATTTTTTTCTTTTGTTGATATGTTAAGGGAAGATGTGCTTGATGCAAGTAGTGCAGCTGATTCTTGCCTCTGTAGACTTTGAGAATGTATATATATACCAGAGACCAGAATACCTAGATTTCTTATAGTATATATATATATGTTTGCCTTGGAGGAAAGGTCTATTTGCATTCGTCTGCTCATGAATTTCATGCAATTTCTTTCTAAAATTTGAATGAAGTGTTTGATTTTTTGTATTTCTGTACAATATAGGGTTTGATTCATCTGAGTGTTTAGTTTATTCCTTGCTGATTTCTCTCTTTTCCTCTTTGTTTTGTATTCTGAAATATGACCCATTCTTCTCAGAATTTCATCTATTTGGTTTTATGATTTTTGAACCATATGTAATGTGAGATACATGACAATAAAACAAGGCAAACGGTGGAAACTTAAGAAATATCAAAACTGTTTATACAGCCATGTGTTGTCAAAACAGATAGATGCTGAGGAAAATAGTACATTACTGAAATATATTGCACATCGGTTGTACAGGTGAATGGACATATGTAGGTTAGGCATGCAGCCTTCTTGTAATGTCATAAGGTAAAACCTGTCTTTGTGAACACCTCTCTCTAGTTAACACCAGCTGTGTTTAGGGAACACCTCTTCTATAGTGATACTCCATTATGCTCAGTATAAAATCGCCTCTCTGTAGTGATACTCCATTGAGCTCTTTAATCACCCCTCTGTAGTGAACACCTGCCTATAGTGAACATATTTTTGTGGCTCCATGAGTATTCACTGTACACAGGTTTAACTGCAACATTATTTTAGATAGTGTATCCCATGTCAAGTAAACACAGGGGGTATATATTAAGAAATGTGATAATGTCAGAGTAACATAACTTTTTCTACTTTTGGTCAATAATTTTGAGATTAATCAATTTTCATTTATTCATTAAAATATCTTGACTACCGAGAGTTAAAAGAATTCTCGTCATAAAAGAATTGACCCTGAGACCTATAGCGATGAGAAATATGTTGCATAATTTTTCATTAAAATTGCTTTAAGTTTGATCATTTTTAATCTAATCTAATTGTTTTTTGATATACATATATTGTACAAAGTACAATAAAACCTGTATATATGATCACCTCTCTAATCTTATTTAATACTTCTCAATGTGAAATGTGTTTTTTTCAATCTCATTGTTTTATCTGGCCTATGTTAAAAAACATTGAAATGTGAACACCTGCCAATCCATAACACTTTTGGCTTGTCCCAGTGCAGGTGTTCGGATGAGACATGTTTTATGTTATGTAGAAAAGATTGATGATCACAACATCTACCGAATTGAGCATCACGTGTTATACAATTATACATGTGTCTTGTTAAATATCAAAAACTGGCAAAAAGGAAAAAATGCTCTTGTACAGTTGTATGAGCCCATTTGAGAACCTAAAGTCAAGGAGGTAGCTATTGTTTCGTTTTAGAGAAATTAGTGCTATAATATACAAGGGTTGATCAATAAATGTTGATACGAACACTCTTATTACATACAGGTTGAACTACGCATTTTGATATTTCCTAAAAGGTCATAAGAAAATGCCCAGGTGAAGTTCATACGAAGCTTCAAAAGTTTAGTTCTTGAAATCTACTGTTAAATGCCTCACTGAAAAATGTCTGTCTGCTCATGCTTATTTCACTCCATTTCTCTCTAAAATTTCAATAAAGTGTCTGATTTTCTTATATTTTTATACAATTTAGAGTGTTGACTACATTTCTGTTTACTTAATTCCTTGCTAATTCCACACTTTTCTACTTTATTTGAATTTAAAATCATGATAGTTATGAAATTTTATATGGGCAGTTTCTAGTTTTCCTGTCTTGTTAAAGATTATGTACCTAATCCGAATTATGCCCCCTAACACATTCAGTATCTGACCTAAAATATCTCAGAACTCATGCTTATTTTGCCTGTTTTCTTCACAATATTTAAATGAACTGCCTGATTTTCTTGCATTTTTATAAACTTTACAGTCTATACTACATCTCTGTTTCTGTAATTTTGTGTTTATATCACTCCTTTCCTACTTTTTTTGAATTATAAAAGAACAACCCGGACTCTTTAATTTCAGGCAGCCATCTTATACAGAAAACTTGAATAAAGTCAGATGTTGAAATACCTGTTACCCTTTTCAAAATGTTGATTTGATACATCTGCCCTCTGGCTAAGAGATAATCCTGTGATCTAGCATTGAACTAATCAAAATGTGGCTTTAACCTAATCAGATATTGTTTTCAGATAATGCCTTCATAAGTGCAGTTACTCTTTCTTATTCAGGGTCCCATAAAAGGCAAGGGTAAATAACTGTTTATGGTCCCACCAGGGTCTGATAAGTTGGAATGATCTGTACCTAGAATTTGGAGAGAAAGTTGTACCCCTCAAATAGTTATGTGTAATAGATATTGGCTGAATTATGGGTGTTTGATCTGCAGTATCGTTTCATGTATTCTTTCCTCTACTTTCAGTGGCCAGTTTGCAGTGGTGAAAAAATGCAAACATCTGAAAACAAACGATGAATTTGCGGCAAAGATCATCAAAAAGAAACGAGCAATGGCGAGTAGGCTGGGAGTTAAAATGGAAGATATTAAAAAAGAAATCGTAATCCTCCAAGAGATGGATCACGAGAATGTGATACGGATATATGAGGTGTTCGAAAACAAGACGCATGTAATACTAGTCCTTGAGCTGTAAGTATCTTTGTGGTTTTTATGGATACACAAACAATTTACCCTTAGAATTAAAGGGTAGTTGTTACAACATGAATTTGCCTTAACATAATGTTCACAGTTCAAGGTTTTCACAATCCAATATACATTATTTACGTTTAAAGCTATTCACATTTTAAGTTATTCACATTTTAAGTTATTCACATATTAAGCTATTCATGTTTCAGTATATTCATGTTTTAGCTAATCACATTTCAGGATGTTCACATTTTAAGCTATTCAAGTTTCAGAATATTCACAGTTTAAGCTTTTCACATTTCAGGATATTCACATTTTAAGCTGTTCAAGTTTCAGAATATTCACATTTTAAGCTATTCACATTTCACGATACTCACAGTTTAAGCTATTCACATTCCAGGATGTTCACATTTCAAAATTGTTGCATTTGAAGGTGTTCATATTTTAAAGTATTCACATTACTTCAATGCTATATTACATTTGAAATTATTTTGAGGTATTCAGATTCAGTTTCTCACAACCCTCGGGAAATACAATATATCTACCCTCGGTCCCTGCAGTACCACAGGTAGATATATTGTATTTCCCTCAGGATATACACTGTATCCAAAACCTTCCATTAAATAACCCTCATGTATTGCTTCAGTTCCCAACACACAAGTCACACATACCTTATACACTTTTCCGTAACAAACTTGAAAATTGACCACCATGGAAGTTTTTGTACAGGTAGAATATTCTTAGATTTGCTGGCATGTATAGAATCTTTACCCTTTCTCATCATCTAGACTCTATTTAAATCGAGTCAATCCCTGTTTAATTTGGTCAGTATCATAGTAAATAATAGTAAAAAAATCATGACGCTAAATATCTTTTCTGCCTTTAAGGAGTGAACATACATTTATCATTCATACTCCAACAAAATGACATATTATCATAATCAAAACTAAAAAATCATCCGTGACTGTAAGAGGATCATATTCACACTACAATTTCAGGGTACCAGATTGTTCATCTTGAATCAAAAGATAATTTTACGTTTAACTGGTCAAGGGCTGAGTTTGATTATCTCCTTGTTTATAGAGATAAATGCTACGTAATTAAGTGCCATGGTGTATTAATACTTCATGTTAATTAGCTACAGTTCTGGGAGTTACATTCATAAGATGTACTCTAAGAATATGATGAAAGGTATTCCGACAATTTATTTGCCTGTTTAGGTATGTCTGTCTGGTAGATACAAACCCCCTTTGTTAAACCATTTTCTTGCATTCTATAGGATCATCAATTGTAATAAATTTAATATATATTTTTGTAATTTAGAACTAAGAAAAAATGTCTTATCTTTTTCTGACAAATTGAATACCCTAATGGTGGTTATCATTTTAAATTGCTTTTATTTCAAATTGTATTCTTTTGGGAGACTCTCTTGGAAAGAATAAATGATAAACTACCTCTCCCCCTCCCTCTCTCCCCCAGCCCCATTACCAAGTCACTGTGGCCCCCTCAAGTGAAGTTATCCAAGGATTTTTACAAGCTACTTGATAGGTGAAAATTTGAATGCATTGTTGGCATTGACATTAAACTCAGCATTGGTTTATATAGCCCCTGCCATCATCAGTTGACATCATATCAAAGCTATTGCTACCTAACCTTTCTTATGAGCATTGTCTGCCTTGAAAAATAAAACCATTGGTTGACACCATTCACAGCATAGTTCTACATCATAACTAAGCTTCATAATGATTTGACATTAACCTTAAGTTGACATCATTATCAGCATCATGTGACATCATAACTGACCATTGTTTGACATCATATTTTTTCAGGGTCTCAGGTGGCGAATTGTTTGACTTCATAGCTGAGAAAGAGCGGTTGAGTGAAGAAGAGGCGTCAGCATTCGTGAAGCAGATCCTCCTCGGCATAAAACACATGCATAGTAAACGCATAGCGCATCTGGATCTAAAGGTAACAATAATCTAGTCGAAAAAAAATTTCCGAAAGCTGTTGTTTCATTCAAATTAGTATTATTAATAAATGCTGCTCCTAAGCTTTTACATTTTTAAAAACAAAATATCTGATTAAGCACAGAAGTTACTGAAGATTTAAGTTGCAGAAATTTATGAGACTTGAAAAAGTTGGCGTCCATTCTTTCAATATCTTGCCAGATAATCTTAGAAAGATTATCTTAGAAAGATTATCTTGAAACAAAGTTCAAACTGTAAAAAAGATATTTATTTAAAAACTGAATGACACAGATTGACGTGATCAGGGAATATTGGGCCATTATTTAAAAACCAACTCTCACCTCATCTTTTTCCCTTCTACGTTCTTTAATGATATCTTATTGCATTTTATGCTCAGTTTTTCTTTAAGAAATGTTTTATTTGTAATTTCAGCCAGAAAATGTGATGTTATTGAACAAGAATTCCCAAAATATTAAGCTGATTGATTTCGGTCTTTCCCGCGTCATAAAACAAGGGGAGTTTCATCGAGACATGATCGGGACTCCAGAGTTCGTAGGTAAGAAATAGCGAGATTCATTTATGTTATGTAGATTGTTCCAAATGACTGATAACCCAGAGAGGTTTTTCTCATTTCAAAGTCAAAATTTGTTTGCAATTTTTAGCTATTTTTTCGCACCTACATTCAAAATACTTTTTTACTGAATATTTATTATATTCTTCATTTTAGGGTTTATCAAGGGGCAGACCATAAATTCTGACAAGGGGGGACAAAACATTTTACTTTCTGTCAAATGTTTTTCTATTTGAAAACTTGACCTGAATTATCTTTGAAAGCCGTACATGTACATTAATAATTTAGGAGTAAGACTTCAACTAAGAGTGTGATTATGAATTGTCTTATGATTTTATAATTTGTGATTTGTAGCCCCAGAAGTGATTAACTATGATCCTCTGTCACTTGCTACGGATATGTGGAGCATCGGTATAATCACATATATACTGTAAGTAAACATTTAAAGCCACTTAAATGTTATATATTATATAAATTAACAGTTAAAGCCATTTAGGTATATTACATTAACAATTAAAGCCACTTGAGAATTATACATTCTGTGAATTTACAGTTAAAGCCTTTGGGAATTGTACATTCTGTGCATTAACAGTTAAAGCCACTTGGTGATAATACATTCTGTGAATTTACAGTTAAAGCCATTTGGGAATTGTACATGCATTACATTAACAGTTAAAGCCACTTGGTTATAATACATTCTGTAGATTAACGGTTAAAGGGACTTGGGAAGTGTAAATTTCTTGAGTTACCAGATAAAGCCATTTGAGCATTGTGTTTTAACCTATATAACACCACATACTTTTTGACCTACAACAGTGGAGCTCTCAAATATAACACCTATTTTAATTTCAGGTTGAGTGGTTGTTCGCCATTCTCAGGAAAGGACCAACAGCAAACATATGAAAAAATTTGCCAACTGACTTATGATTTTACCTCAAAATACTTTGAAAATACCAGTGATCTCGCCAAGGAGTTTATTGGTATGCTGCTAAAACGAGATCCATTGTAAGTCTACAGTGTATTATGTCATTTTCTTCATAATTTAAATCGCACATGTTCAAAATGCTGTTATGTCACCATCAGACTAATTATAGTCTCCAACTTTTTTGTGGCCAGAATTCGGCAGCTGGTGTCTGTAACAATTGGCGTTCGGTGGTTGATGTCTGTAACAAATGGCGTTCGGTGGTTGATGTCTGTAACAAATGGCAGGTGGTGACATTTTGCATGTCAGTGCTTTGTATTGTCATTGTTTTGTGGTTGTGTGTTTAGGTGTCACAGAACAAAATATCTTTGTAACATTTAGGTATGGTACAGACATTTGATTTTAGAATGGGAAACATGACTTATTTTTGTTATCGTGAGCATGCGGATTCCAGATTAACTTGTCTTTTTGGGGTCTTACTAACAACGGCATTTATAGGGATTTTGGGAATATCTAACTTTTAGAATGGTTCTATTTTGATCTGAAACATTGAACAAAAGAATGCATTTATTTCAGATCAAGAGCTTCCGTGGAAGAATGTTTGAACCATGCTTGGATTCAGGTGAGACAAATGTTTTTTTTTGTTTTTTTATTGTCATGTTTAAAATGGAGAATAGCGAGGAAAGTTAGGGAATTACATGGAATTAAAGTAAAAAGACATGTAGTCAACTCTCAAAATTGTCTGAAAATGCAAGAAAATTAGATACTTCATTCAAATTTTAGAGAGAAATGAGAGGAATTAAGAAGGAATAAAGTAAACAGGCATGTAGTAAACACTCTAAATTGTATAGAAATGCAAGGAAATCAGACACTTTATTCAAATTTAAGAGAGAATTGAGAGGAATTAGGAAGAAATAAAGCAAACAGACATGAAGTGAACTTGTAACCTTGTAATATCAGACACTTTATTGAAATAATTAAAAAATGAGGAATTACTGTACAGATGAACTCATGAAAGAGTTCAAGGAGGAATGTCACAAATTGTACATGTACATGTATTTTTATGGACATTGTACATGTATTTTCATAGACAATAATTTTTATAATTCAGTTACCCCGATTTATTTGTTTTCAACAGAATTACAGCAACTTGCCAAATCAGGTATCCACTATGTAGATTAGTATCCTTGGTTACAGACTTGAAGAAATAGACTGACGCTCCATTAACACTTGTGCGGTCCTCTAAAATTCATGATATCTTTGCTACAATTAGTCTTTAAAATCATTATCTCACATTGCCTATAGGAGATTGTTATTTTGAAGATTATGTAGCGAAGCAAGTGTACATACCAGTACATAAAACTAAAACACGAAATCGATGTTAAATTTCCGATTCATTTCTTCAAGTTTTTACCTTACATGTAGTTCACCATTTTAGTTTCATTCTCTCCCACTTTCTATTCCTTGAGTTGTTTTCCTGAATCTTTTAACTTTTTCTAATTTTTGTTTAGTTTTAATCTACATGTATGTGTTTATGATTCATTGATTTTGTTGTTTTTAGAAGGGGTCTCATTCAGACCTGAGTAATTTAGTTTATTCTTCGTCACACTGTTAAATGTTATTATTGGCCAATATTGGGTGAATTATGGTCTAATTTACTGGCGACTTTAAGGTCCAAATTTTTTTTCTAGTAAACCTTTACCCAATTTTTGACACCTCCTTAAAATAAAGCAGCTCAGAAGACATTAATACAAACATTTTTTTGAAATATGGAAACTCTAAGTTTGGGCCAAAATGTGTTTGTTCACTAGATACAATGTGAGGAGTTTTTTTAACTCGAAGTAACCTATACTAAAAGGTTTGCATCAATAATGGTGCATGTTATAGGTTGTATTGTTTTCATTATTTGTATTATATAATAAGATTGCTGTTTTTTTCTAGGGTTGAGGTCTGAGTCACTTTAATAGATACCTGATATGATTTTTCTGTCGGACTCTTGCTTAATTCTGATTGGTAGAAAAATGACATGTGGTTGCACATGTTTAACTGTAGTCTCACTTTAATAATATTCACCTAGGCAACACTTCTTTAACTTCTAAAATCATTGTATTGCATCATGAACAGATATCACCCATAATGTATTTCAAATGAGAAGGGTGTCTTAATAGGGTTTAAGCTGAGGGCTAAAAACTCTAAAAACGTGTTGTATGTAAGAGGTAATAATAGTTTGATTTGCGAAACCATAAATATATTCTAGAAAATTTGAGACTGAGCAGTGCAATTGGAATATTTGATGTGAAGATTTTATGATTTAAAATTCTTTTTCATTTTCAGCCATCTGAAAAGAAACAGTCGGAGAATAGAAGGAAGTCTGTTATTAATATTGGAAACTTGAAAACATTCTGTGCTAAGAAAAGATGGCGGGTAAGTTGTTAAACCAGTGGCTGGGGAAGGAGGGGGAAATATTCTCTCTACATTTATTGTGACTTTCAGAAAAATTAGTAAGAGATCAATCTCGCACAAAATTTGAGATTTTGTATGGAAACGGATGAAATGTTGAAAATGCCTTTATTAAAGTATGCCATATATTCTGGTATTGCTCAGATACCAAATAATGCCACATATTTTGAAGTTGTTCTATCAAATAATCCTATAGATTTTTATGTTGTTGACCAGTGATCTAATACATATATAACCAAAATCTATATGTATTGTTACAAGGATTTTGATAAAAAAAGGAAAGAATGGATTTTAATGTTTTTCAGCAATCAGTTCAGATCGTGACACTGTGCAATCGTTTATCTAAAAGTGCTAATCTGCGACGTACTGCAAATTTGTTACATGACAGCCATGCTGCCAATGGTCTTGAGGTAGGTCAATTAACTCTTTATGATTTAAGGGGTCATCTTATGCTTACTGTTAATCACTTAAGGGGTCATGTCATGTTTAAGACAAAACATGTAATCCATTTTCAGTGTATGGGAAAGACTGTTTTATCAACCTATAAGTAATGAAAATCATTTTTTTGGTCTTTTTATTATTAAAAGGAATTCCGAATTCCCATCTAAAATGAACAAATTGAGCACAAAATTTAGAGCAGAATTTAAAAATGATCTACTAAAGCCTTACAGATCACTTTTAAATGCACAAATGTAACTGTACCTAAAGTTTGAAAACAACGACATTGTTGAACTTTTTTGGGCAACTTTGGACAAGTTAAAAGAAAGTATGCTTAGGTTAATTCAATCTTTAAAGATCTACCCAAACTGTGTCCAATGTAGGAAAAAAGATGATCGAAGAGAAAAAAAGACTGGTAGGCCGTTAAAGAAAAGAGTGGTGTCAAATGACCAATACAAGATAATTCAGATGTTTGAAAATCTGTAGAATGTTCGTGTAAGTTGAATGGTGCATACACCAGTAGTAGGTTAGATTGTTATAAATATGAATGAGTTATAGGCTTCTCACTGGGGAGATAATGAAATATTTCAAAATAATTTCAAGTGGTATGTAGTAATTTTGAGGCACAACCAAAAAGATATGGGAATCATGAGTTTATTTATTTTTAAGACTAATACCAATACAATATACACCTATATAATAATCAAATAATGTGTCATATAACACAGTCTTTTCATTTCCATATTTTGCAAACATAAGAAGTACAATTAAGGTAGTTTTTAGCTATCAATATTTATGCATGGCATGGAATGATATAATTAGAGTAAATTGTTCTATTCATAATTCAATAACTTTCCATTTTTTAATGATCAAACTTTAGATTAAGTGTTTTTTATTTATCATGAATTCCTGTAAATTGTATTTCTATATTCTATATAATCAATTTCTTTAATTTATAAATTTTGCATGATTATTGATGAATGTTGCAAATTGAAACTTGTTCAATGTACAAATACTAACATATGTGTAAGAAAATTATCTATATGATTAATGTTTTTCAAGTAGAATGAATATAATCTAGGTGGAACAGTTTGAGTAATCCCCTTTGAACAATTGCCCCCCCCCCCCCTTACATGTGGCCCTGATTAACCCAAACTCATTAGACCACTCTATTGAGAGGGGGATAATTTACCAAGGGGACATTTATTTGGAATTTTGACACTCATTCCTTGACCTCAAAGCACATTAATCATTTGATAATATAGTTAATTTGCTATTATTCTGAGAGAGTAAATCCAGAGGGAAGATATCTACAGGAGCCTTGGGAAGATATCATATTTTCCCCGAGGATATATACTGTACTTTCTCAAACCTTCTGATATATTTAAGATGTTAAGCATTCAGTGTCTTTAACTGTTGTTACACATTTGTTACAATTTGCATTTATGGTGACATGTTATTTTAAAGCCTTGTTTGTTTATTGCTTGTTTGTTTATTACTTGTTTGTTTATTATTTGTTTGTTTATTACTTATTTGTTTATACTAACCTTTGCATGCCTTCCAGAATCCAATTGATGGAGTTCAACAAACAACAAGTGATACCATGGAAACCAATAGTGACACTACTGAAACAAACAGTGACACTTCAGAAACTATAACTGACATCACCCAAAATAACAATGACAAAATTAGCAGTAACAACATTATAAAAACTGAATCAAAATCCAAAGTTGACATTAATAATGACATCACACTTACTAGGGATGACATCACTGATGGCAATTCATGTGGAACTGATGACAGTAAACCTTTCACTGATGATATAACACCTGGAACTGATGACATCAAATCTGACACTGATGACATCACATCTGCCACTGTTGACATCATACCTGACACTGATGAAATCATAAAGCATATTGATGACATCACAGTCAAACATGTTGATGGTGTCATAACAACCACCCTTAATGTAAACATCAAAAATGACATCGCCATTGTTGATTTTAAAAATACCGCACCACAAAAATCATTGAAATGTGTAAGTGTTTTATTACAGCAGGACAAAATTGGCGATATGAGTACAAAGAGTGATTGAAACATTGTGGATTTTTTAGGGTTGTCAAAGGATTGTTGGAAAAGTTTTGAACAATTATTACATGTTTTTATATTTTGTGTAAAAATAAACATGGACATAAAATAATAAAATTATTAATATAATACACATTTTATTTTTTATACCCTTCATCCATGATTACTTCATAAACAATATTTCTGCATCAAGGCTCTAGCTTTCCCGTAGAGCATTTTCTGAAACTCTTACCCTAATATGTGTTTTGTATAGATGAAGTTTTTTTTATTATTTTTTAATCACAATCAAGACTTTATTCCGTAAAATAAATGTACAGAACTGAAAAATCATAAAATCATACATGCAGTAAAAACTGTGTATATTGAACACACTCAGTACATACTGGCCAACTTTGTTTCTTGTATACAGGTTTTTCTTATACGGAGAGTTTATGGGCAATGAGACTTTTCAAAACTTCCATTACAAGTGTTCTTTAAAAAAAGGTGTTGTATTGGACTGGTTTTACTGTGTATATTTCTATTGTTTGAATAATACATATCACATTTTTATTATTAAACAATACAGTAATATTTTTTTAATTTCAATTATCAATTCAGATCCAAGGAATATTGTTCTTCCATTCCATGTAATTAGGGGTAGGGGGTAAATTAGGGGTAGGGGGTAAATGATGGTTTTGTCAGTGAATAGTGTTCTCATTTTTTAATATCCAAGTGAAAGACAAATCAACATTTTTAAATTTCAAATCATAAACTTCATTTTTTCAAAGACTGATGATGATTGGACAACATCCTTAAATAAAAACAAAACATGTCTTTGTTAAATTACATTGTTTAATTATTATCAAAGGTAAAACAATTTGTTTCTCTTCCATGAATCTGTTACAAATCTACAATGTGAAATCTATGGAACTTCCATAGTTTATTTAGCCAGTTTCTATGGTGATAATGAAGATGACTGTTTAAATCAGTCAAAAGAAAAATGTCACATTTCACCAAAAAGGCACTAGCATTGGCAATGTCTGTCTTTATAGATCATGATTTAAAATGTACCAATGTATTATGGTTAAATGGAAAAAATACAAAGTGCTCTGGCAGCCAGTAGGTAAAAGCAGGCACTTTGATATATATAGAATGGGCAATATTATACATACAGTATATCCAGCGGGAAAACCAGTATATGTGAATTAACCTCTTAGAGAAAACACCTGAATATTTACCATTTTTGGATGTCTCATTTTATAACGTATCTTGGTAATCCCATCAGGTTAAAACAATTTCAGTATTTTCAGTGCATAATTCTAAACTTATCTGGTTCTCTGTGTTTAACTTATCCCCCCTCTTGGGTACTGCTTGAATCTCAAGTCATAATCGGCCAATCAGATGCGACCCAATGTTATTATGACAGCTGTAAATCAGGCAACATCTGAGGCATGCTTTAACAAATTTGGATCAATCAGTCTTCATCACATATATAATTATTCACAATGGCTTCTTGTTGAATTTGCTCTGCTTATTGTAGTAAACGATAGAATCAAGGTACAGTAATATCCAAGCGGGGGAAGGAGTAATGATATCGAACGCTGATTTCAACATGGCCAGAAAAGCTTTATAGAAAACATGTTGAACTTTGTAATATAAAATCTATGTTGTGCATCTATGTACTATGTACAGTAGTGTTGTCATTCATTTGAACTTGTCAGGTTTGGTTCAGTCAGTGATTCCATTCAGTCAATAGTACCAAAAAGTACTTCCATTCAGACAATAGTGCCAAACATTACTTCCATTTGGTCAGTAGTGCCAAAAAGGCGATATGTTTTTACTCATTAGGTTTGATATAAAACCTGTTCAATCACATTTTGGATATTTGTATTAGGTTATGTTAGGATATAGAGAAGATGAGAGTAAGTAACAACATACCATACAGTAATTCTATGAATGTTCATCTCTCTGGTAGTAATGTACTATTAACAAAGTTGTTGATTTTCTTTCTCAGAGATATTTCTTTTTCTTTTTGACGTTTCGTAGGATGTAGTTTCTGAAGAAGTAGGATGGACATCCTACGAAACGTCAAAAAGAAAAATAAATCAACAACTTTGTTAATAGTAACATACAGTAAGTTGCTCTCATTATTCCTTATGTCATGCCTATTTTCTAAAAAGTCCAAAATATCTAACTTGTTTCAAGATAATCCTTTTCTGTCTAAAATAAGGTTTATCAGAAATTGAAAAAGTAGATACACCCTTTTGAATTCTAATGATTTTGGACTTTTTTCATCTTAAACCTACAAACCCTTCTATATTTGATCACATCTTAATCCCATTCCCAGAAAATGAAATTAAGATTACAAGGGCAACATTAAATGCATTTAAAGATTGCTTGCATTATTGTCACATTTTCTTTCCCTTTTAATTCCTTTAAGAGTTTGCATAAATCTGCACATTTTGTGTGATTTTCATTATGAAGCTTCTTCAGAGTTTTTTGTGAACCTTTTACATAGTTCTATATTTCTCTTTATATTTCTATATTTGTTGTTACACCGCAGAGATTTGCCTTATTGGAATGAACATATCTGAATATAGTTATCCCCTCAAGAAGTATTTCATGGCAGTAGTCCAAGTTGTTTTTGCACGTCTCTTATATTGTTCAGTACCACAGCTGCATCTGGATGAGCTTCATTACCATGAATCTTCCTTAACATTGATAGACTATCTTCAAAGTATTTCCTGGCAGTTGTATACTCCACCTTGCTATAATACAATCCACCTATATTGTTCAGTGATGAGGCTACATATGGGTGAGCATCATTACCATGAATCTTCCTTAACATTGATAGGCTATCTTCATAGTATTTCATGGCAGTGGTATACTCTCCCAGTAGTTTATGCATTTCACCTAGATTGTTCATTGACATGGCAACATCTGGGTGAGCATCATTACCATGAATCTTTCTACGCATTGATAGGCTATCTTCATAGTATCTCCTTGCAGTGGTATACTCCCCCTTGCTATTATACAATCCACCTATATTGTTCATTGACATGGCAACATATGGGTGAGCATCATTACCATGAATCTTTCTATACATTGAAAGACTATCTTCAAGGTATTTCCTTGCGGTGGTATACTCCCCCATGCTATTATACAATCCACCTATATTGTTCATTGACCCGGCAATATCTGGGTGAGCATCACTACCATGAATCTTTCTACGCATTGATAGGCTATCTTCATAGTATTTCATGGCAGTGGTATACTCTCCCAGTTGTTTATGCATTTCACCTAGATTGTTCATTGACATGGCAACATCTGGGTGAGCATCATTACCATGAATCTTTCTACGCATTGATAGGCTATCTTCATAGTATTTCATGGCAGTGGTATACTCTCCCAGTAGTTTATGCATTTCACCTAGATTGTTCATTGACATGGCAACATCTGGGTGAGCATCATTACCATGAATCTTTCTACGCATTGATAGGCTATCTTCATAGTATCTCCTTGCAGTGGTATACTCCCCCTTGCTATTATACAATCCACCTATATTGTTCATTGACATGGCAACATATGGGTGAGCATCATTACCATGAATCTTTCTATACATTGAAAGACTATCTTCAAGGTATTTCCTTGCGGTGGTATACTCCCCCATGCTATTATACAATCCACCTATATTGTTCATTGACCCGGCAATATCTGGGTGAGCATCACTACCATGAATCTTTCTACGCATTGATAGGCTATCTTCATAGTATTTCATGGCAGTGGTATACTCTCCCAGTTGTTTATGCATTTCACCTAGATTGTTCATTGACATGGCAACATCTGGGTGAGCATCATTACCATGAACCTTCCTATACATTGATAGGCTATCTTCATAGTATTTCCTGGCAGTGGTATACTCCCCCATGCTATTATACAATCCACCTATATTGTTCACTGATGAGGCTACATCTGGGTGAGCATCATTACCATGAATCTTCCTTAACATTGATAGGCCATCTTCATAGTATTTCCTGGCAGTGGTATACTCCCCCATTCTAAAATACAATTCACCTATATTGCTCATTGATGAGGCTACATCTGGGTGAGCATCATTACCATAAATCTTCCTAAACATTGATAGACTATCTTCATAGTATTTCCTGGCAGTGGTATACTCCCCCATGCTTACATACAATCTACCTATATTGTTCAGTAATGAGGCTACATCTGGGTGAGCATCATTACCATGAATCTTCCTTAACATTGATAGGCTATCTTCATAGTATTTCCTGGCAGTGGTATACTCCCCCATGCTATTATACAAATTACCTATATTGCTCATTGATGAGGCTACATCTGGGTGAGCATCATTACCATGAATCTTCCTTAACATTGATAGGCTATCTTCATAGTATTTCCTGGCAGTGGTATACTCCCCCATTCTATTATACAATCCACCTATATTGTTCATTGATGAGGCTACATCTGGGTGAGCATCATTACCATAAATCTTCCTAAACATTGATAGACTATCTTCATAGTATTTCCTGGCAGTGGTATACTCCCCCATGCTTACATACAATCTACCTATATTGTTCAGTAATGAGGCTACATCTGGGTGAGCGTCATTACCATGAACCTTCCTACACATTGATAGAGAATCTACATGAAATTTTAAGGCATTGTCAAACTTACCACCTGTCTGATAAAGTGAACCAATCTCATATTGTAGTAAAGCTATTTCATACTCATATCCTTTCATGCCTTTATTTTGGAGTTTTTCTAATTCAGCTTTATAAGCATACAATGCTCTTTCAGAAAAATACATATCTTTATAAATCTGTACTTTTATCTTGTTACTGTCATCTGTGTATTTATTTTTGTGTTTCCATGACATGTTATTTTTCTGAGAAACTAAGAATTTAGACCATGGCACAAAAGTAGTGTAGAATGTAATGATTGCAGTGTATCCCCTGACAGGTATAACAGTCTTTGAATCCAATGTGTCATCTTTAGATTCACTGGACAGAAATGATATGAACTCCTTCTGCTCTTTGTATTTACTGTATACCAAATGTCTGAGATTACTTGCAATGCAAACCATGGTTTGCAGATCTTTCTTTGCCCTTTCAGTGAGGATACCATTCTTGAATAACTCCTCCAAAACATCTAAAGGGGCAAATGATTTGCAACCATGTACCAGCTTAAGAATGTTAATTGAAATAGTTGCTAACCTATAGACATCATGCTTGGTGTGTATATCCCGACAGAATGATTTGCTCGTTAGAGGGTTTGTCAAATATTTTGCAAGGTCATCATTAAGTGTTTTTATTCCCCTTTCTGTACCTATAGATACATTTGGGTTCTTAGATGGGGATTCCAATATTGAATGGACCTGTTTGTTGTATGTTTCCCAGAGGGTCTCGTCTCCTGTAATCAATGCTGAGTTCATCAAAACATCACTGAGACGATAGCCCTCTTTTAAAGAAACATCGTTGAATTGGTATTTGGTCATTTCATCTATTGTCATTATAAGCTCTAGTGTAGGTGGTTTTTCGGGGTCCTTTCTTGATTTTCGTCCTATCGGTGTCTTACTAGCAGATGGGTGTGTTCCATCAAATGAAACCCCACGTGTAGTGACTTCATCCCAAAAGTCCACATCAGTCATATTTGGTGGCAGTCTGTCATTGAAATCGGTCAATACTGGTATGTCAAGATTGTTCAAAATGGTCTCACCTAAATTCAAAATTTGGAGATGCACATAGTACACTAACATGCGTAATTCTTCCTTTATGCATTCAACTGGTTCACCCATGGGATCAAATAAAATTGCCCATTCTATGTCCGAGTAAGCAGTCACTTCCTTACGGGACAGTGACCCTAGTGCCATTATTGCAAACTTGTATTTACAATTTTGAATACCCAAAGTAGACATGCAGTCTATAATAATTGACCTATAGAACTCTAAAATCTTCTCTGTGAGCTCATTATAGAACACTTTACTGTGTTCAATTGTGTTGTCAATATCCTGTTCCCTCATTTCTGAAGTGAGTGGATGTACAATCATGTCATTGTTTATAATGGCATTCACAGTGTCTTCAGAATAAGTACGTATCTTCTCAAGTTCTTGCTTGTACCTACTTGTCAAATCATGAGTAGAAAGCTTCCTTGCTTTTGATAACCTTTTGAGAAATTGTGTATCAATGTCCTGAAGTCTCTCTTCAATATAGCACTTGTCATACTTAAATTTAGTATTCAGCAAACTCCATCTTCGCAACAGATCCTGTATTGTTTCGAATGGCCGACTCTCTAACTTCTCCAGTCTACATTTTGCTGCATTTAAAAGGGCAGAGGCCCAAACAAAATGTTCATACCACGTTGGAGAGGTTTCAGCCTTTCCTATAAACTCATCTCCCAGCTCACACATTAGCTCTGCCTGTTTCTTCAGTTCAGTTTCCTGGTCACAAGCTTTGATTTTACATCCAAGGTCATACATTTTCTGGGTGATCTCTGAAAATGTAATTGTTTCAGACTATATCTATCTATGCCTATGAAATCGAGATACAATTTTCCTTGAGAATTTAACTTAATTATTAATTAGTGACTGACAAAAATGAACTGGTATCATTATAATTAGAACATTTGTTTGCATGGGTCATGTGAAATATTGCCTTTGAAATATTAAGGTAAAAGATGATGTGTTAATTGTCCCAGTTCATATGCTCAAATGGATACCTAACTCCATAGGAAATATATAAACATGTGATTAAAAATCCAAGATACCTGATTTGGATTGGTTTGGTCCTGGGTCCATTTCGATCCCTCCAATGACCAACAGCATGGTGATGATAACCAGCAATGATGCAGTATGTTGAGACTCGTCTGAGCCTGTTGAACATTCTAGCACTACAAGTCTCGATTGATTTCCAGAAAATGTTCCAATAGCACTTCTCCATTGTGTTAAACTGTTCCCCATGTTGACCGATTTTTGTGAATATGGCCTTATTCTTCAACAGCTACGCAATATGTTTGATATCATTTTATATGATCTTTGTGCATCAAAAAATGTTCAAATAGCTGCTCTCTATTGTGTTCAACTGTTCTCCATGTTGACTGACTTTTGTAAAAGTGGCCCTAATTTCAACAGCTTCTCGAATACGTTTGTTCATCAGTTTGCATGTTCTTTGTGTATCATCTACAGAAAATGTTATGTTGATTGATTTTTGGGAATATTACCTTTACTTTGTATGTATACGTGTTTAATATCGATCAATGTGTTCTTTGTTCATATTTCTATAGAGTATTGCTAGAGCTATGTGCTCATGTCATGACAACATTTATTTGTAGTTATACTGTGTTGTCTGCCCCCAAACAGTGATTTTACATACCCACAAACGTTAGGATTTAACTGTTTTGTTGCAACTTTATTTATACTTATTATTTTGCCTTTTTTAACATATAAAAAGAGAGGATATTAGTGGGAAAATTCCATCGCTCATAATATTTAGCCAAATTGATTTCTTGAACTCGGAGTTATGCATGGAATTTCCAAGTAGCCATATTAAAGGGGAATACCTTTATTGCTTTGGAAATATTTCACATCATTTTAGGGGTGGACCTGGATATTAAATGTGTCAAAGGTCTCAGGCAAAATAATAAGTTTTAGATATTTAAAAAGAATATTGATCAAAGATTAAAGTTTATTTTTGAAGAAAAAGATAATTCCATATTTATGTACTATTATCTATAATTTTTAAAATCCCTTTTTTCTTGGGCCAAGTTTGTTTTATTCTACTTCAAGGGCAATGTCTAAAATAATATATTTTACTGTCTCTACATATATGATACACCGCTACATGTATTGTTGTTTTCTGTTTGCATAAATAGATGGCATACCAATCATTTAAGGTTTCATCTTAAAGTTGCATAGTTGATGAAACAAATGGCACCATTTGTTGAGCCACGCGTTTAAAAGGCTCCAAAACAAGACAAAATTGGAACTTATACAAAATTGTTTGTATTTCCTGCATGGACACCCATAAAATCCATATGAACATTGGATTTGAATGGCTGTTTTCATTTGTCCAAAATTGTTGATGGATAAATAGGTGGATGAATGCATGTTTTATACCTTTATTGTCATATTAAAACAACAAATAAGTCAACTAAATTGTGGTTTTATTCAAAAATAACACATTCATTGAAATCAGGAGTCAATTAGAGAAACTTTGTTTAGGTATAACACCCCTTTAAGGTATATGAAAGATATTATACCTTAAAGTTCAAAACAGTAAATGTTTTGGCATAATACCCCTTTCACCCATACTGTTAAACCAGTATATTCCTTCAGTCATTATAAAACACATATCTTGATAAATCAAGATGCATTTAACCTGTGTCATTAAGTGATGATACGTTATAAATTGGTGAAGTTATAATGGATTGAAAGTACAAAAATGGGTGAAAAATGTTTAAATTCTCCCAAATAATAAGAATGGTAATCATTCTTATAGAAAAATAATACATTATTGTAAAAATCTCGAGATTTCCTGAAATAAAGTGTGCACTTTGGGTATTTTTTAGAAAAAAGACATGAAAAGGAATGACATAAGCCAGAAATATTCTAAAATTGAAACAATTTTTTGTAAGCCTGCTCGCTAGATCTGATTCTCTCTTTAAAATATACTAGTACCAAATGTATTAAAACATAAAATGTACATGTTTTGAGGTTGTTATATTACACTTGAAAATTAACCTGTAAAAAGAAATGAATATTTTACGAGGCTATATCATTAGGCCTTAATGATATCAGACATCATAATTACAATGAATGGAATTTTTAATTTAATGTCATGATTCAACTTGAATTAAAATACTAAATATTGCACTCTGGGCATTTTGTTTAAAACCAATGTGTCTCTTAGTCAAGTATATTTCCCTCTATTTCTCTGTTAACTTTTAGGATACTGAAATTGAAAATAGAGATTAAAAGAGTGGAATCTGCAAGGAATAAAGAGGCATGAAGTTAACACGCTAAATTATAAAGAAATATAAGAAAATATTTTAGAAATCATTTTCACTAGGTTTTATTTGATTGTAATTAATGACTTTGAAAATAATTTTCATAGAATTTACTTTGGTGTTATATAAGAAAATATTTTAGAAATTATTTTCACTAGGATTTATTTGATTGTAATTAATGACTTTGAAAAACAATTTGCATAGAATCCACTTTGTTATTGGGTATGAAAGAAGTTTTTTTAGGTTTTGGAATGCTGTCACTTTAAAATATTTGGGGCAATATGGGTGCTATTAAAAGACAACCGTTGGGGAGTTTTTTCCATTGTTACTGTAGAACAAGGGAAGATTCACAACATAAAATTAATTAAATTCTGACATATTGGCGCTTTAAATCACTCGAAGCAATGTTTAACATAAATCGTACTTGCCTCTAGGCAAAAGTTAAGTTACCTTAATTAGCATACAGTCATTTCACTTGTTTCATTTTATGTGTTGTAAACGATATACTAGGTGAACTAAAATTGAAGTAAATATTTATAAGGTAAACTCAGGATATATACAGATACATATATGGATCATAACTTATTCAGATCACTATAAACTATATTAAATACTTGTACAAGACAACGTTTTCATGGTTTTTCTGTTCCCATGGAGACTTAAGTTAAAATAGAGGTCTCTTTAATACAGGGATGAATAGATATACAAAAATTGGAAATAGTTAAATAGGAAAAAACTATTAACTTTGTGTATATGGAAAAGGGACTGGAAAAACTGGTATTGTCATAAAATAGAGACTTGAAACAATATACGGTATATGATTAGAAACTACAGTGTATGAAGAGAGACCAATGAATCTATGGAAAGAAACTCATATATTGCATGGGACTTATGTAAGGAAATAAGCCATTATCTGGAAGAGACAGATATTTTGAAATGACTTAATAGATAAACTAACAGGAGTCTTTCGATGTAAAATACTAAGTCCGATATGTAAGGAAATAAGCCATTATCTGGAAGAGACAGATATTTTGAAATGACTTAATAGATAAACTAACAGGAGTCTTTCGATGTAAAATACTAAGTCCGATTGGAAGAAACTCAGGTAGTCTTTGGCCACTATGGATTCCGTGGATTTGTGAATATATATATTATTTATTTATTATATAAAGAATACTGAATTTTGATACAGGTTGACTGCATTAACAGAAATAGGAACATTTACAACCTTGGAATAAATCAGACCTCATCTTGCATCATCTAAGAACATCTTACTTTGTATTCATGGTTCATCCTGAGGTTGACTCGTCAGAATAATGCCATGAGGGTCATGTTTTGAAATTCAAATTAGAGAGGATAAGAGAGGAATTAGCAAGGAATAAAGTAAATAGGCATGTAGGGAATACCCTAAATTGTATAGAAATGCAAAGAAATGTAACACTTTATTCAAATTTTAGAGAGAAATTGAATGGATAATAATGAGCAGACGGACTTTTTGAACAGGGATTATGCGCTCATTTGGGATTTTCCAGATAGAATACTGATGGTTTTCCTATGAATAAGATGTCACCTTGGTCTTCTAAGAAATTTAAAAAATGAGGAATGTCATGGAATAACCATGAAATAAAATATGTGCATGTCTATAACTTATAACTATATCAAAATTAGTGAATGAGATTTAAACTGTTACTGCAGAAAATGCAATTAGATTTATAAGCCTACTATTATATTAGGAAAGAAATTGAAGAGGAAAAAATCGTCATTTGCGAAATTGCATTTGCAGACAGGATTTGATGAACAAGTCATGTTAATTTCTGCCTACGAATGTCACTACGCTTATGTTTATCAAATGCTGGTTTTCTTTATACTTATCTAAAATGTCCATCTGATCATGCTTATTCCTCTCAATTCTCTCTAAAATTTGAATGAATTGTCTGATTTTCTTGCATTTCTATACAATTTAGAGTGTTGACTACATGTTTGTTTACTTAATACCATCCTAAGTTTTCTCTTTCATCCTGTTTTTTAAAATTCAAAATATGACCAATTGTGATGATTTATTGTATTTGCTGTATAGACCAAGATAAGACAGAATTCTAGATTATGTTTCAAAAACCAGAATATTGGTGCTTCTCTTCAAACAACTACCAAACAAACAAACAATTGCCACATAACTATAGCAACTCATTTGTTGTATGATACAACCTCTGGACATTGAATTTGGCATATAGTCTTGACGTAGGGAAGTGAGATGCACTTGCATATGGACATTGAATTCATCATTTGAGCACAGACGTATATTATTGCATGTGAGGATATGAAAACTATGTATGAACATTCAACTGAACATAAAAACATTGCATATGAACATAAAAACATGTGTATGAACATAAAGATATTGCATATAAGCATTCAAAAACTGAATATTGACAGTGAAACATTGCTAATGTTATGAACTTAAAATATGAACATAAAATATGAACATAAAATATGAACACAAGGAAATAGTGCATGGACATTTAAACACTGCATAGGAACTCAAATATATTGCAATTGAAGATTGAAACTCTGTATATGAACATAAATGCATTGCTAATGAATATTGAAACAAACCATATGAACATTGAAAATAGTGTATGAACATTGAAAAGTTGCATATAAAGACTGGAAGATTGCGTATGGATATAAGAAATAGTGGATGAATATTTAAATGTTGCACATGAACATTGAAACATAGCATATGAACACTGAAACATAGCATATGAACATTGATATTGATAACTTGTAAGACAACATTACATAGGAAAATTCAGCAGTTTCATTCAGTGACAAAGAGACTGTAAGAATGACTGCCTACATGGGCACAGTGTCAAACATCAAAGCATTGTTGGATGACATTGATAAACAGGTGAGTACAGGTTTAGGTTTAGGTGTAGGTGTACAGTGTAGGTGTAT